ACCTCCAAGCGCTCTTTTGCCTATCTGCAACGATTTCCAGTCCCCAACCTGCAGCCCAAAGACCTAGTGCTGCGATGTCGACGATGCCGAGCGCGGGATGAGCCTTGGCTGGCAAGACGTTGATCAGCCATACGGGCAGGGCGGTAAGGGTGATCCAAGTGGCTTGCGCCATCCTATGGGGAGGTGCGGCGATTGTGTGAGCAGGTGAGCAGGTGGGCAGGTGGGCAGGTGGGCAGGTGGGCAGGTGGGCAGGTGAGCCAAAAGGGAAAGCCTCTTTCTCGCGCTCTCACTTGCCGCAAGGCCACGCAGCTCCCAACCAAGCACACGCACACATGCGCGCGCGCGATCCACTCACCAAGCGCCAAAGAACTTGACAGGACTCTGCTTGATCTCATCGAACCTTTCATCCTTTCCGCTCTTTTGTATCCTCAGCGCCAAGAAGCTTCCCAAGCGAGCGGCCCAAGCGACGACTAGAGCGCTGGCGATGAGCTGTCTAGGTGCAAAGCTGCGCAGATTGGGCAGCATGGCTGATTTGTCGCCTTGGATGAAACGACGGGTGAGGTAAGGGGAGTAGAGAGAGGCTGCTACGCCCGAAAAGAATCCCAGCGAACCTGTCAGATCGTAAAACTGTCGGTGCGCGCGGGGGGGAGAATGAAGGAAGAAGTGTGAGCAGGAGCAGGGAAGCGCAGCATACATGCCCTCTTTCTTGACTTTTACCTTTTCGGTCTTGTATGCGATGGCGGGCACGCTGGCCACTGCTTGTCCTCCATAAATGATGGCCAGCGTAGGCACCAAAGCCTTGAAACCTGCGCCCAATCCCAGTGTTTGCGCCATGCTTGCGCGGGGCTGCGTGGGAGATGGGGGAGATGGAAGCTGGGAAAGATGCGTGGGGGTGGGATGACCCGATTTGTGCAGTGACGAGTACTGGTGGGATGGAGAGCAGCGAGGAGTGAGTGTAGCGATCGAATGAGATGGAATGCGCGCTTCTTATGGGCGTTGCGCATGGGGGTCATTGCTTTGGTGAGGGAGAGTGAGAGGCAGAGGCAGAGGCAGAGGCAGAGGCAGAGGCAGAGGCAGAGCGATGCTGCCGGCTGCCCGACCGACGCCATGTGCAAGGGTCTCTGCAGCGCAGAGCACCCACGCGCGATCACCGCTGCGTATGTAATCCTGATTGAATAACGAATCATAATCACGAATCTTCCACATCAGCCTCATCAGCCATGCATGCGCAGTCAGCAGTCAGCAGTCAGCAGTCAGCAGTCAGCAGTGAGTCTTGTGTCAGCAGCACAGTCAGCCACCGATCGAGAGGCAGGCATCAGCAGCAAGCACATGCATTTCATCACTCAGCAGCAGCAAGAAAGGTGGTCCGCGCGTGGGACATTCATCTGCAGCGCTACATCACACAGCGCGAGCCAGCGTACAGTCGTGAGTGTGCCACGACGGATTGCAGTCAAGTATAGTGATCCGCGCGGCCGGCCCGCGGCTTGCCGGACTTCTGCAACGGCACGACACGCGCCGTTGAGGAGATCAAAAGGGTCGAGCATCGTGATTGCGCTTGATGGCAGCACCTCTACGACAAGCCCTGCAGCACAGCTCCACCTGCATCGACTTTCTTGATTGCCGCTCTCTCTCTCTGTCCTGATCCACGTTCCCGCCGCGGAGGATGTGAAAAGATGCGTCACGTGAGCGAGCCATATTGATTGAAGAGCGGCGGGCGAACGCGCATGGCGCATGAATCAATTGAGCGATCAAGCTATACGGTACCGGTACCGTAGCGCCCGCGGTGATGCAGCGCTGAAGCCGGCCGGCTACAAGAAAGCTTTGGCATAGCCGGGCCGGGCCTGGCCGTTGTGCGCGCATCCACGCATACATGGCAGCACGCGCCCCAGCCCCCGCCCCATCGCCGCGATCTTGTCTCCACATCCCTACCGCACCATCGTCTGCACCACCAACACCCCTCAGCTTCCAAGCAGCGGACTACACAGCGCTTACAATGTCCGCCTCAGCTGCTAAAGGAAGGGTGGAGCAGCTCGGTGCTCATCTCACCGGCGGACCACTGCTCAAGGGTGAGGTGGCCATCATCACCGGGTGAGTGGGCGGGCATATGTGCAAGAACGCGTCAGAGGTTTGTCATGGCTTTCACAGCAGTCTTGAGTGGTTGGAGTGAGATCGCTGGACAGGGTGGATTGGCCAGCCTGGTAGGGCAACGCAGGCGAACAGAGCGCATGCGAACAGAGCGCACGCGAAACAAGGACGGCAAAGGAGGCAAAGTGGGCGCATACATGCAGGTTCATGGTCTCTCCCCCGTCATCCCGAGGCATGCCACAGCTCATCCGACCTTGCCATGTCACATCTCTGCCAGAGCTGGGCGCGGTATTGGCAAGACTACCGCTCTGACCTTTGCAGCGCACGGTGCTTCCATCGTTGTGAGTCGATCTGGCACGTGCTGCCGAGGCAGGTCCCCACATCATCGCCGTTTCTCACACGCTGCCTCTCGCGCGTCTCCTTCGTGCCGCACAGGTGTTCGACATTGACGCATCCGTAGCAGAAGGCGTAGTGGGCGAGATTCGGGCCAATGGCGGATCTGCAGAAGCGTTCGCGGGGAGGGACATCACCTCGGCCGCAGTGCCGGACGAGTTGGTAGCTTTCGCAATCTCCAAGTACGGCAAGATCAACCACATCATCAACGGAGCAGGTTTCACCATTCAAGCTCCGCTCAAAGATCTCTCCGACTCGGCATGGGAATCCGTCATGGCTGTTCACTCCACCGCTCCCTTTCGACTCACCCGCGCTGCCCTGCCCCACATGCTGGACAAAAAGTATGCGGGTGAGAATAGGAGCATCACCAACATCTCCTCCATGGCGGGCATCCAAGGTTTGGCGTACGGCGCCAACTACAGCGCGGGCAAAGCGGCTCTTATAGGCTTGACGAAATCCAGCGCGCGCGAGTTGGGCAGGCACGGCATACGGGTGAATGCGGTGGCGTACGGTTTCGTGCAGACGCGCTTGATTGGCGATTCGGACAAGGATGGCGAGACGCACAGGTTGCCGGATGGAAGCATTATTCCCGTAGGTGTGCCGACCGAAAGAGCTTTTGCCAAAGCGCTGCTGCACGGCAATGTGCTCAAGAGACCAGGCACGACGCAAGAGGCTGCCGGTCCGCTGCTCTTCCTCGCCAGTCCACTCGCTTCCTACATTACGGGCCAGGTTTTGCAGGTGAGTTTGCCCACGAGGCGAGTGGTGGGGAGAGGGGTGCAAAATCAGCCAGTCGATGATGGCAAGATTGATTCGAATGGAAGCGCTCTTCTCGACACAGATTTCGGGAGACATTTAGGAGCCAGTTCGCTCGTGCATGAAATACAGGCACTTTGGACGTTGTGACGGACCGCATCGACTCGGGATTCTCGCTGTGCTGAAAAGGGGGTTCAAGAATATCATACTCAAGGCGTTGGAGCGAGCAGAAAGGACATGCTCTCGCCGGGAATGCATGGCCTGCATGCATGCGTGACCCGACCGGCTCCAACTTGTCCCGTGGATCAAAACCGATCGACGTGGGTCCAGTGTGGCTTTTCAAACGTCCACGCACGACGACTGAAATGATGGAAAACATTTGGCAAGGACAGCATCGGGGGTCTGTGGCGTTTGTCTCTGTCTGGCACGTCGATGGTCAAGGCTCGTGATGGAGAGGAGAGGGTGGCGAAGGGAAGGTGGCATGGGATGGGTGCGAAGGGCGGCGCAGGCCAGGCCAGGCCAGGCCAGGCCGCTTGCTTTTGCTTGCAACGCCCAGCCTGGGACGAGATGATATCAGGATATGGCAGCCTTTTGGAAGGTCCAGCTGAGATAATCTGCGCGTAGAGCGTCGATTGTCGTTTGACCCTTGTCCACATTGCTGCTCGGTCTACTCTCCAACGCATGGAAGGGCAGTACGAAGCAAGGAGCGCAGAGAGGAGAGAGAGAGAGAGAGAGAGAGAGAGAGAGAGAGAGAGAGAGAGAGAGAGAGAGAAG